ATTTTATTTGTATCTTTACTCTATTGTATTTATTTGTGCTGTTGCTTGTAGTTAGATAGATTATTCTTAGTTTCTTTATTTTTATTTGACAGTATAGTCTTTGCCTAAACATAGCACATATCGAACCATACCGAAACCGTGACTATAAAACCGTGATACAAACCGTACCGTGAGTAAGTTGAACCGTTCCACCCCTTCAAATCCAGATTTTGATTTTCAAAGATTTATTATAAAAACTGATCATTTTTTCCCCAAAATTCAATAAATCCATTGAATCAATATAAAAGTTATATTTTTCCCAAAATGCAATAAATCCATTGAATCAAAATAAAAGTTATTTTTCATATTGAAACTGTTGAAAATACACAACAAAGTAAGTTGATCAACATATGACAGGCTCTGAACTTGGTCAATACTAATCTTATTAATAGCTTACCTTTCTTCCCCACCGCAGAAACCACCACAGGTTCATCAATGCCGTAAAAAATTATCAATTTTTTTTAGGGCTCCACTATAAATCGCATGCGATTGTCATGCGCATCTCATCAGTAAAGCTGGTTCTGTGATTAGTAGTAAATCTACATCACATGCTTTCAGATGGAGCGGCATTTAATACAAAGAGCCGTAGATCACTGACAAGCTACGCAATATCGCATTCATAATCGAAGGCAATTCATCTGCGATTATGAACGCGATATTGCGAAGCTTGTCAGTTACTGTTTACAATGCGTGGAATGGTGCCCTGTGATTGGTTGAGCGGATGTATCGCATTCTGCAGAGAAGGGAGACTGGCGTTTGTCGCGGTTTGTAAAGAAAGGGACAAAACATGATAGAATAACACGGCGGATATAACATTTTTTCAAACAATCCGTCCAAAACAGTGCTAATATAAAGGAAACCAGGCAGATTACATCAGAGATTACAGAGAGAACAGAGACTCACGTTGCGTTTTCAGTTCATTCCAGTGTGTTTGGCTTTAAAACACGAGCTCTTTCATATTCTGTGATTGTCTCTGAAGAGTGCGAGCCCTCACATGTCATGCACTTGTGTGAAGTACAGACTGAACGGATTGTCAACACATCCCACCGCTGTATGGCTAGATGATACACAAACTACGGTTTCTCGACTGAATAACCAGCCTAGCTAGTAAAGTTTTGATGGATGAAGACTGCAATCAAGGTAAAGATGATTGCGGTGGCGTACAGGAGTCGTACAGTTCAGTAAGCACGCGTGAGTCCATTATAATAATGCGCGTATGAGTGCTCTAGACGCACTGATCGCACATTGTATTTATGCACAGGCACAGACATTTCCGTACATTCACGTTATATTCTCCTTATATCATTTGGTGAACAGATAGCATTAGAACTTTACAATCTAACATTGCTCTTTGAAGCATTAAAATCACTAAACTAAAAGTTTAAATCACTAAATTAAAACTACATTTTAACTGCTACAAGAAACACACATTAAGTAGTAATTTAGCGTGCATGTGCGCAGCAGCGCTCGTTCACTCGCGTATGCCTCGCAGAGGAAAAATATACTCGTGGCATGTCAGTTATGCACTGAGGAAAACATCGATGCATAGCCAACGATACGATACATTGAAGATACATATGAAGTAGCTAGCGATGCGATGCGATACGATCCACCCCTATTACGATGCAGTGCGATCCGATTTCGATTTGATCCGATTCAACACAATGCGATTCGATGCAATATGATGCAATGGAAAAAATATGATCACATTTATTTCTTTGGTTCAGACAGACAGCAAATCATAAATTAACTTATGTGTCTTCTGACTTCTAACGCCTCGAGGCCTGTTTCATAAAACAAGTTTACCAAATAGGCCAGGCTTATTTCAGTTAAAAAAAAATTAACTTAAATTATTTTAGCAAATGGCTGCAATATAACAAAGAGTGAAACATTTAAGGGGGTCTGAATACTTTCCGTACCCACTGTATATATTTTTAATTAATATCACTCTGCATTTCTGATGATCATAGATTTCTATGGTCACACAGGTTTGTTTATTTATTAAACTTGTCGCCATGAGAAAGGGGTATAGTTTCCTCAACACAATATCTCGAGGCCATGACTACACATTGTGTATCCATGACATAAGGATGTCATAATTTGAAAAAAAACAAAAAAAAAAACACTTTTGGCCACAAAATATTATCATATTTCGAATC